TATAATCTTAAAAATAAATAAATAAATAAATAAATAAATAAATAAATAAATAAGGGCACCTGGGCAGCTCAGTCAGTTAAGCCTCCATCACTTGATTTCAGCTCAGGTCATGGTCTCAGGGTCGTAGGAACCAGACCCACAACAGGATCAGCATAGAGTCTGCTTGAGATTCTCTCTCTCCTCTCCCTCTGCCCTCCCCAGCTCAGAGATTCTCTCTCTCCCTCTCCCTCTGCCCCTCCTCCAGCTATTTATTCTTTCTAGAATAAATAAGCAAATAAAATCTTTAAATAAATAAATAAATGTATTTAGGCCTAGGACAATGCTTTAGTCCACTCAGCCAAGATGGTTTTACCCCTTAACAATTTCGTCCACTGCTTTAATAGTCCATTTTTTTCTTTCTTTCTACCAGCTGTGCTGTTTGTGGGTTAGAGGGGAGATGGAACCTCCATTCAATGTCATGCTTTACCACCCACTCTGCACACCATGACCTTTGACATGTGCCCCCTGATTGCTATCTTTTCACTGAGGGTATCCATACATGGTACTCGGTTTCTCTGATCCCCTGACAGGGGCAGCATGGTTTGCATGGCAACAGGGAAAGTTTGACTTAGGCCGGAGGTAGTGTCCTTGCAAACCAAGGCACATTTAGAACCCTCATTCAGAGGGAAGGGACCGCCATAATCAGTTTGCCAGTCCTTTGCTGGCAGGGAACTCCAGGGAATGGCCCCAGATTCTTTTGGCATTTGCCATGGACGTGGTTTAGAATACACAGGACAGGCTGTTATGGCATTAACCAAGTCACTGTACTTTAAGACTGATCCAGCATCCTTGATAAAATGCCATTTTATGTGGACATTGTGGTGGCCATACCTTTCTCTGCACCCAGACTGCTGTACATCTGCTGGGGCTCATACCCAAGGCATCAGCTTCCTAACCGCCAGGAGTGTCAGTGCTTCAAGAACTAGGACACGAAAACCAGCGAGGGCTGCCTTGGGCTCTTATAAATGCACCCAAATGTCTTTCCAGGGCTCATGAGTCATCACCATTCATCACTCTGATGTACCAACTGGTACGTGGGATCGCAGTTAGGCCCTTTGCTCTGGGCCTGCTCTCAAGCTACCTGTGTCAGTGAGGGACCTCTAGGCAGGTAAGAGTGGTGACACTTGTGAAGGAGTATAATTTACCAGAAAGCCTTCTACAGGAAATGAAATCAGTATATTGAAGAAGTGTGTCTCCATGTCCGTGTTCACTGTGGCATTATTCACGTAGTTAAGCTATGGAAACCACCTAAATGTAAGTTGAGGGATGAATGGATAAAGAAGATGAAATAGGGACACCTGGGTGGCTCGGTGATTGAGCGTCTGCCTTTGGCTCAGGGTGTGATCCCAGGGTCCTGGGATCGAGCCCCACATCGGGCTCCCCACCAAGGAGCCTGCTTCTCCCTCTGCCTCTGCTTCTCTCTTTTTGTGTCTCTCATGAATAAATAAATGAAATCTTTAAAAAAAAACCTTTTAAAGAAGATGAAATACTATTCAGCTATAACTAAAGAAGACATCCTGCCATTTGTGACAACATGGATGGACATGAGGGACATCATATTAAATGAAATAAGCCAGACAGAGAAAGACAAATATTATATGATACCACTTATATGTAGACTTTATTTTTTTAAAGTTGAATATTGAGAAACACGGGGTAGAATGGTTCTCTGGTTGCCAGGGGTTGGGAGACAGCAGAAGTGAGGACCTGTCGGTCAAGGGGTACAAACTTTGAATTAGAAGATGATTATGTTCCGAGGCTGTAATGTACAGCCTAGTGATTATAGTTAACAACCCTGGATTGTATATGTAAAATTTGCTAAGAGAGTAGATCTTAAGCCGTCTCACCACAGAGGAAAAGGTAACTATATGAAGCGATGGATGTATGAATTAACTTGATTGCGGCAATCACTTCACGATATACTTGTGCATCGAATCATGGCAGTGTGCGCTTTAAATAGATGCAGTTTTACTTGTCAATTATACCTCAGTAAAGCTGAAAAAAAAAAAGAAAATAAAATCTTCTTTGGGCCCTCCAGATGTGCATTACACATGGTCCAGAGCAGAAGCTTCTCAGAAAGCAGATGAGAGGTTGCCTGGGGATTTGGGGACCCGGTGAGGCATGGATTACAAATGGCACCAGGAAAATTCTGGAGCTATTTGATTGAGGTGATAGTTTCCCAGACTTATGGTAAAACTCATCAAATTTGAACATACACATTTAAATATGTACAGTTGATACTACATCACTTATACAGCTCAATAAGTGCACAAAGTTTGTTGAGGGGAAAAAGACAGATGTAAAAATCTCACAAACCTCTTTTGGAACAAGATGGGCCAATCTACACTTGAGGCACTTCCCCAATCTTGACTTGCTGTCAAAAGCCTGCTTGAAGTGAGTGATATCTGAAGACAGGACTACTAACCATCCATTTGCTCGTGTTCCCATCAGCAAATTAAAACATTTGGAACACATAAGCCTCGTGCTTCATCCAAATGTCCTCAGCATAATTTCTCACAATATTCTCAATTATGTTTTTAATCAAGGTTTGATATAATCAATGGCAATGTGAGATACACGTAAATATTCTTTTCTGCAAAAAAAAAAAGAAAGAAAGAAAGAAAGAAAGAAAGAAAGAAAGAAAGAAAGAAAAGAAAAGAAAACGAGACATGCAAAGAAGGAAGCAAAGAAGACAGAAATTTGTGATAGGCAGAATAATGGTGGCCTAGAGATGTCCACATCCCAAGCCCAGGAACCCGTAAATATAGTACTTCACATGGTGAAAGAGGAATTCAGGTTGCAAATGGCATTAAGATTATTAATCAGCTGACTTTAAAACAGGGAGATTATTTGGATTATCCAATAATCCAATCATCACTGGGTAAACCAATGGAATCCCAAGAGCCCTTTGAAGTGGAGGAGGGAGACACAGGGTGCCCTGAGACAGAGGGTGATGTGACCCAAAGAGAAAGGCCCGGAATAATGCAGTGCCCCTGGCTTTGAAGACAGAAACAGTGACCCCAAGCCAAGGCATGTAGCACCCTCTCAACCTGGTGGGTCTTCCCTAGAACCCCGAGAAGGCACAGAACCCAGCCAACACCTTGGTTTCCGCCCAGTAAGACCCCTTTCAGATTTCTGACCTCCAGAACTGGAAGCTACTAAATTTGTTTCTCCGGGCACTAAATGTGGTAATTTATTACAACAGCAATAGAAAGCTACTATAAAAATCCTTCGGGTGAGGTCAAAGAGCACTGGTTTCATTTGGTCACGTTCACTCTTTTTTATTTTTTTAAAGATTTTATTTATATATGAGATAGGCAGAGGGAGAAGCAGGCTCCCTGCAAGGAGCCCCAGGCAGGCCTCCATCCCAGGACCCCGGGATCACGACCTGAGCCCAGGGCAGGTGCTCAAGCCCTGAGCCCCCCCACCGCGGGCGCCCCTTATTCCTGTTCACTTAGCCGAACATTGAAAACTTTCCGTGGGCAAAGAATTTCATTGGGAACAGGGTACATATGCATGACACACGTGTGTGCCTGGTGCCCTGGGATGTGTAAGACGCAAGGGGCTGACCCTGGAAAAACAGCAATGAGGGGTGGGCCCCGCAGTGTGGCCGGGAATTGGGGATCCTCAGGCCTCTCAGGCCAAGGAGACCAGGTGAAGGGGGGGGCACCCGCTGGTCCTGTGCAAAGGGCCGTATTTCCCGGTCCAGCCCCGGGTGAGGGGTTTGCTCCTCACTCCCCCGCTGCTCTGGGTCAAAGGGCAGACGCTGCCCCCCACCCCGCGCGCGTGGGGTGAGGTTTCGGAGCCTCCCCTCGGGTCTAGAAACGTGCAGAGCCTCCGCCTGAGCCAAAGCCCTAAACTTCAACCGGCCACAAGAGTGTGCACGTGAGATGACTGCATTTTTTTTCCTGCCAAACCAGAATTAGCCGGTATAGGAATGAACGAGCGTGGAGATTTGAAATTGCTCGGATTGGAAGGAAGCCGGCGTTAGGCTCACGCGCCTCGGGACGCACCCAGGCTCGGCGGGCGCTCCCCCGGCCTGGCAGCGGGCGGCGCGGGGGCCGGGATGCTGGGCCCCCCGGCCGCGGCTCGGGACGGACGGCCGCTCGGGGGGCGCCGAGGACACCGGCGGGTGCGGGCATCGGGGCCGGCAGCCCGGTGAGGCCGCAGCCCCGCGCCGCGCGGGCGGTGAGTACCCCGAGGCCGCGCTGCACCCGGGCCGCCCTGGCTCGCGGGGGGCTCGGCGGGGCGCGCGGCGCAGGCCCGGGGCGGGCCCGGGAGGGCTGCGCCGGGGCGCGGGGGGCGCGAGCTGCGGGCGGGGACGCGCGCCCCGCTCCCCAGGCCGCCGGGGCGCACGGACCCCCGGACCCCTCCCCGGGCCCCCCTCCCCGGGCCCCCTCCCCGGGCCCCCCTCCCCGGGCCCCGCTCCCGCCTGCCCGGGCGCAGCTGGGGACTCGAACCCGGCGGGGAGCGGGGCGGACAGCGGGCGAGCGGGGGTGCGGAGGGCTCCGAGCCCGCGGGGGACGCGGGTGCGCGGGGTGCGGCGCTCGGGCCGCGGGGGAGGCGGGGAGACCGCGGAGCCCGGGAGCGGGGCGCGCAGGGCTGCCCCCCCCCCATCCACCGCGGGCAGGAGAGGGACACGGGGGCCGGCGGGCGGGGGGGGGGGGCGACCCGGGGCTGCCATTCCCGGGCACACGGCGCCAAGGCCAAGGAACCGGATTCCGCTTTCCAATTAATTAAGCCGGTTTCCTTGCGCGGAAAAGTTGATTCAGACCAATTAACGGGGATGAGCGAGGATTATTATTGAGGATTAGGAGGGCTCCTTGTCGCCTGGTCTGGCGAGCATACGTGTGTGTGTGTGTGTGTGTGTGTGTGTGTGTGTGTGTAAGAGAGAGAGAGATGGGGGTGGGGGGGAGAGCAGGCTCTGGAATCCCGCAAGCCCGGCCGCACCACCTGCTAGTTTGACCTCTAGACTTCACTGCCCTCATTCGACAAATAGCCTCAGTTTCCTGGTCTGTGCAATGGGGCCTTAATGCCAACCGGACAAGATCGGGGTGGAGAAGCCACTCGGCACAGCCCCGGGCCCCCCAGAAGGCCTTTATATGTGCCGTTGTCCCCAGGTCACCGTGAACCCAGGGCAAGTGTCCGTTTCCCCCAAGCGGGCCTCCCCGCACTGCAGCTCCCCAGCCAGCGGGGCTCTAACCTCCTCAGCCTGCAGGGCTCAAGTGCGCCCCCTAAGGCCCACGATTTCCTGTGCCCCCAGGTCCTCCGGGCTAAAGATCCCACAGCCCAGGTGGAGGTTGACGCGCCCCTCGCCCCGCATCTAAGGAAGAACCAGTTACCCCCCCCTCTGCCCACCTTTCCAGGAGGTTGTAATTTTAGATTTCCCCGGGCGCTTTCCCCTTTCCCCTTTGCCTGTCATTGGCAAAGCCCCCGCCGCTTGCTCACGGAGCCCCAGCAGCCAAGTTAAAAGAGTGAAGGATTTGCTGATCAGATTTACTCCTGTATCGGAGCTGCGGAAACTGAATTTAATTTTCATCTCAGATACAGCTGGCTCTGAATGATTTTCGCCTCGACGTGGTAGCACATGAATTGGAGCCGGCCTCCATCTCCTAGCTTTCAGGGGTTACTTCATTTCCCTGCGTTTAGGATGACTTTGCCACCATCTGTGAACTCCCACATGGGGCAAGTGGAAGGTTGGCTATTGGTCTTCCCATTGCCTTCCTTCACGGTCTTCCGTGCAAAGGCTTAATGTTACAGGCTGAGCCTTCAGCAGGCCGCCTGGATTGGGCTCCGTCTTACATATTGATCCTAGAGGAAGCTCCACACTCGGTGCCTCCATTTACCCCAGTGTACCACGTGTGTGTTGTTCTACACGTGTGTCAGGATGTGGAGAAGGCGGGAGAGCTTGAAGGCCATGTGGTGGAGAAAGATGTGGAGCCTGGGGAACCATCCATAGTTCACTTGTGTTCTTTCTCTCTCTCCTCTCTCTCTCTCTCTGAGATTATAATACTCAAATGGTTCTTTTATATCTTATAATTATGCAAATGCTAAAAGCAAACGTGGGGTGAAGGGGATAGATATGTATTTTTCTATTGTCCTTTGCTTTCGTTAACCTGGTTGGGCAATAAGTTAACTGCGGTTAGTCAAAACAGAAATTACTTGTAGAGTGAGTGAGCTATGAAATGCAGATGGCTCTATTGCCAGGTGTATCTTTAGGGACCTCCTGAAGACGGGACAGCACTTCGTTTTAGCCACCCCCACCCTCCACCAGTGCTCTGCATTGGCTACTGTACGCTACATGCACCCTTGCGTCCCTTGGATAAAACGTGGCAATTAAATGCTATCCGATGTCATTTATTTATGAACAAATGAAACGGAAATGTTGAGAGCAGTTCAATGGCATCTCCATCTCTTAACCCATAAAATAAATAATTCAGTGAGCATATCAATTTCTTAACATTGCTTAGGAAAATGTTTACTATTTCAACTCAGCGGTTGAAAATGATAACTTTGGTGATATTATTATTTCAAACTTTTTCATAGATGTAAACGGCTTATTATTTTCAAAAAAAATAGATGTAAATGACCTTTATGAAAATGCCAGGCTGTGTTGTTTTGTCTCACTAAACAGAGCTGAGCATTATCCCACGGATTTAAAATGATGTTATTACATCAAGTGCCCTCCTTAATGCCCATCACCCAGTTGTACTGGGTACTATATGCAACTGATGCATCACTAAATTCTACCTCTGAAACTAATAAAATATTTTTAGGAAAAATTTTTAAATAAAATATTATTATTACTCATGTAGGCCAGTCACTCCCCTGATTTCTTTGCTTTCTGGCTTCTCGGAATGCTGCATCTAAGTAGCAGAGACAGAGGGAAGACAACCACTGAACACCCACCCCGTCTGATCCATTTGTAGGCTTATTCTCTGGGCCTCCTGCCAGTGCAGCTCTTGTCTGGGCTGTGAGCTCTCAAAAACTAGGGCTGTCCCATTGCTGACTGTCGCCAGGCAGGCTGTCCTCTCCCCAGGGTCTCAAGAGCAGGGTAGTGGCAAAGTAGATTTCTTAAGGGAAGTGACTCTTGAATCATCCTCTTTCTTTTTCACAATTCAGCCACTAATCTACAGGAGGCAAAAAGCCGATCCAGATGATGTTTAAAAGATAGAGGTAGGGACTTTTATTTTGTTACTATAAAATTAATACATATTTATTGTGATTTCTTTTTTCTTTCTTTTTTTTTTTTTTACCAACAAGACAGATTAAAAGGAGGAAGAGTCCGTTAAGACCATCATCCAAAGAATAATCTCCCTCAATGTTATTCTTTTCACGCCAGTCTTTTCTCCTATGGATGCCTATTTTTAACAAAAACAAAGGGATTCTTGCACATATCCCAAGTCGTAGCCTCCTGTGTATAATTCGCACCTTGGAGTGCCCTTCTTTCCATGTTCTCAAACAGCCTTGTACAATTGGTTGATCTAGCACATACTCTAATGTTAGAGATTAGAGATGTTTGCAGGGGTTGAGGGGGTTCTCACCGTGTCAAGGTTTCACTATTGTATTTAGCTGAATCTTGAGGGAGGAGCAGAAGAGGAGCAGGATGTTAGAAGGAGAGAAGTGCGTTCCCGAAAGAGAAAGAGAAGGCCGTGCCCCGAGGCTTAAGACCCTGTGCCAAGGTGAAGGAGCTGCAGGTGCCTCAGCAGGGCTGGAGCGCAAAGGTCAAAGGCAGGGAAATGAGAGCAGGAGAATCAGTGGGGAGCCTGGCAGAGGCAAAGGGGGTTTGGCCTTGATCCTAAAGCTATCTTGACAGCATGGAGAAATCACATGGCACGATAGCACTTTATCTTATCCCCCAGCCGTCTGCAGAGCGGGGAAGTGGAAAGGACCCAGGCAGACAGGAGCAACGTGGGCAGGAAGTGTAGGGGTTGAGGATTGGATGGGTGTTTAGGACATAGAGTCATTTAAAAGATAAAAATAATAATGAGGACAAGGCACGAAGGAAAGGGAAAATCGAGATGAGCCTCAGGACAGATCCTTGAAACTGGCATCCTTGGTTTCCCAGCACCCATTTCTTCCCAGCAAACTTTAGCCAGAACCAAAGCCACAGTCCCGGGATCCACTGGCTTTTCCTATAAAGGGTCAGAGAGTAAGTATTTTAAATTTCATAGACCACATAACCTTTAAAAAAGGTAAAAACAAACAAAAAAAATTTTTAATAAAATAAAAAACCTGGGTGGCTCAGTCAGTTAAGTGTCTGCCTTCGACTCCTCGTATCAGACTCCCTGCTCGGTGGGGAGCCTACTTCTCCCTCTGCCCTGCTTGCTCTCTCACTCACCCTCTCTCTCAAATAAGTAAATAAAAAAATTTTTTTTTTAAAAAAAGGTAAAGACAATTACCTTTGTTTGGAGGGGTTTCTCATGTATTTGGGATTGTTTTTTTTTATTTTATCTCCTTCCTCCATTGCAACCAAAGGATTTTCAGTAATAACTATGTAGTGGTTCATAAAAATCATCATTGTCTTATATTTTGTCTACTGTTTTTTTTTCTTTTTTTTTTACTGTTTTTTTTTTAAAGATTCTATTTATTTATTCATGAGAGACACAGAGAAAGAGGCAGAGACATAGGCAGACAGAGAAGCAGGCTCCCTGAAGGAAAACCTTATGTGGGACTCGGTCCCATGACCCAGGAGTCACAACCTGAGCCGAAGGCAGACGCTCAGCCACTGAGCCACCCAGGTGCCCTTTGTCTTCTGTTGTAAAATAATTGAAAAAAGAAGAGATTTCTATTTTAAAGACATCGTGCAGATTGAGTAAAACATCTCATGTATTGACTGCAAATTTTACTCTCTACGCGAAAGGTTTTCGCCTTGCAGTCTTGCACTTGTTTTGCTATGTTACATTTTAAACAAAATAAAATCTCCAAGTAGGCATGAAGAACTCAACTTCTGGAGCTTCATCCCTACAGTAACTACACGTTAGTGCATCTCGCAGGTCCTGCTGCAGACCCAGGCTGTGCCACAGAGATGCTCCAGCAATTCTGATCTCCTGGGAACCTATCCTCAGAGCGTATGTACAGTGTAGCTGGGGCCAGATGGGTGTCGGGGTCAACAGTACAACTAGGATTTCTCTAGAATACTTCCCGCAGATAAGACTGTTTACAGAAGGATAAGTAATAGCACCACCCTGATTTGAAGTTTACAGATAGAAAATTAAAACGGAATTATGTGGAACTTTGACCAGCAAAAGATTTTTTTCAGAGTGTTTTTATCAGGGACGTTGTCTAGATTTGCTGGCACATCGAGATCATAAAAAGGCAGACCAAATTCAGTCGTTTGTTGTTGTTTGAAAGTTCTCCTCTGATGATGCTCTCGTTGCCAGCTTCTGGGGGGAGGGCCTCCAGGGCCTGTACCTGGTGCTGCGCACCCTCAGAGCTGCAGGGCTCAGCTCCACCTTCAGAACTGCCCGACAATCACTTCCACTTGCTGTGGGCAACAGTCTGTTCCATATTCCTGAACGTTGATACCCCTTCATAACCACCATCCTCTTCATTCTCAGCCAGTGACCTGACTTTCTACTTCACCCAAGAATCGGACCGTCGGGTGTAACTTCTCATCCCACTACCTGGCATGTCATCTCCATCCACCTTCTGCTTTGCTCCTGCAGATCAAGACCAATCCTCCTGTCCCACTTCCTCAGGATTACTGTCTCTGTCTCCTCCTTTTACTCTTTATCCTCAGTTCTTATACACATACTTCTTTTTCATCCTGAAAAATAAAAATGCAGCCAGAGGCTTCGCCTGACCTGGCATTGCCACCCCCCTCCAGCTCCATTCAGCCTCCGAGCCTTTTTTCCTAACATCTGGAGATGGATCTGCGTAGAGCACAGGTCACCATGTCTGGTTCCTGTAGGACTCAGCCTCTGGGTGTTCATCATGCGCAAGAGAAACTCTAAGCTCCTGACTTGGCACACAGGCATGATCTAGCCTCTGGCTCCCTGGTAATCTCACTGGTAACCTAGACATCACTGTAGTATTCAAATGATTTTAGTCTGAGTTTCTATTTTTTTTTTTTTAGATTTTATTTATTCATAGACACAGAGAGAGAGAGAGGCAGAGACACAGGCAGAGGGAGAAGCAGGCTCCATGCAGGGAGCCCGATGTGGGACTCGATCCCGGGTCTCCAGGATCACACCCCAGGCTATAGGCGGCGCCAAACCGCTGAGCCACCAGGGCTGCCCTGATTTTCTATTTTTAAATCAACTTTCTAGTTTCCCAGGGAAATGCTGGAATGCGGGTAGGTGGAATGGGTAAAATATGTGTCTTGTGTATCAGACTTGAGTATCACCATTATTAGAAAGTTCTAGCTCCTATTGTAAAAAATTAATTAATTGGCCTTCTAGTTTACTACTCTTTCCTGAGTTGGTTCATATGAGTTGGTCTCCTGAGGCAAATCCTCTCTCACTCTACCAAACAAACTGAAGACTTGGACCTACAAAACAAGAACCAGATGCTGTGCCAAGGGCTCTACCAAGGCAAAGCTACCCTGAACGGCTGTTTAGAGCCAGGTGTCTTCCTTCTGTGACATCTTTGTTGTCACCTATCAGTGTCCATCTCAATAACAGACACACAAGGCATGGACTTTTGAGTCAGGAATAGCTGGATTCGATTCCTTAGGTTCTGGGATAGCCATACTTCATGGCCATGAGAACTTGGGAAAGGCACTTGACTTCACTGGGTCTATTTCCATTTCTTTAAAATATGGATAGTAATGCTTACCTATAGGATGACGGTAAAGATGAAACAGGTTTCACAAAAGCACTTGGCAGTAAAAAAAAAAAAAAAAAATGTCAGGAGTGTTCCAAACCTGCATGAAGACAGGATGAATCTGAAGGCCACTTTGGTTATGATGGGGAGGTAGAGCTGTCCAAAGAAGATAAAGATACTTTTGGTTTGACATTCAAGGAAATTATTTGTCATGTGTATTTCAGAAAATCTTGGAAAATGTATACAAGTCATGAAGACATTGGGTATGATTTTGAAGATGACCCCAAAGATAAGAAGACACTTAAGTCCCATCCAAACATTGACAGTGGATGGGCTTGGATGGTGGTTCTTTCCTCCTTCTTTGTGCATATCCTTATTATGGGCTCCCAGATGGCCCTGGGAGTCCTCAACGTGGAATGGCTTGAAGAGTTCCATCAGAGCCGTGGCCTGACTGCATGGGTCAGCTCCCTCAGCATGGGCATCACTTTGATTGTGGGTATGTTCACGTGCAACCTGTTGTAAAACTGAATTATAAGTTCACCATTCTCTGCTGTAGGTAATGTTTTAGATTGTCAAAATATTAGACACTGCATGCTGCATGTAATGATGGTACTATTTTATTTTTCAGGCTAAAATATATATAACATCGCATTCACTGTTTTAACCACTTTTAGGTATACAGTTCATTGCCACTGAGTGCATTCATCACCACCATCCACCTCCAGAACTTTTTCATCGTCTCAAACTGAAACTCTGCACCCGTGAAATAAGTTTCCATTCCCACCTCCCCTTGGCCCCTGACCACCCCCCCCACCTTTAGTCTCTATGACAGTGCCTGATAGAAGTGGAATCACTCAACACATGTCCTTTTGTGTGATATTACTGTTTGAATATTATGAACATTTGGAGTGTCTTAAAAATTGATCATTTAAAAAACTTTTGCCCCAAACTCTGTTTTCTTGACTGCTACTATTCATTATATATCACTACAGGTCTGTTTACTTAACATTTATGAATATTGGTAAAAGATAAAAATTTTAGGGAAAACACCATAAAACGCAGGTAACTATCTTATTTCAGAGTTCTGGTGATTTAATTTGAAATATTGATCACACACTGTTGAAAAATCTATTAAAGTGCTTTTAGAAAAGTTACAGATCTAGCTAACAGGAAGGAATAATAATGTATTTTGTTAAACCTTACCACATACTAATCTGTGAAAGCAATTCTTTATTTATTTATTTATTTATTTATTTATTTATTTATTTATTTATTTATTTATATTTGTTTATTGATGAGAGACACAGGGAGAGGCAAAAGCAGGCTTCATTCAGAGAGCCTGATGTGGGACTTGATCCTGGGACTCCAGGATCATGCCCTGGGCCGAAGAGAGACGCTCAACTGCTGAGCCTCCTAGGTGTCCCGGAAAGCAATTCTCATGCAGTTGGAGATGCCAAGCTAGAAAGTTATCATAATTATAAGATGTTATTATGGCCTCTGTGTTTCCTTTTGGGAACTAGACAATTTTTACTGTCAACTAATCTTTAATAAGCATCTATCATATAACAGGTGTTTTCCCTTACTTTATCTCTTGAACGTAAAGCCATACTTTTACATTGAAATTTTTTTTTACATTTATTCTTATTTATTTATCTCTTAGAATGTTCATGCCAGCAGCGGGGAGGGGCAGAGAGAATCTTAAGCAAGCTCCACGCCCAGTGCGGATGGAGCCCTGCTCAGGACCCTGAAATCATGACCTGAGCCGAAATCAAAAGTCTGAGGCTTAACTGACTAAGCCAAACAGGCACCTCTACATCAATTTTTTTTTAATCTCAAGTATTCATGAAATCACACTGGAAACATAGATGGCCTCAAATCTTCTTCTAGTTCTGTGAGCGTTTGCGTATGACAGGCATCTGTGTGCTTGATGAGAATCTCCCTTTTCAGTGATTTCCACATTGGTAATTAATTCCTTGACTCCAATTCAGAGATTTGTTGATTTTGGCTGGCATGCAGGCAGTGATCATTTGGATAATACAAATAATATTAATAATGGTGATATTGCTAACGATTAAAAACAAGGATGAAGTGTTATTTCTCAAGATGTGTGTGGAGTATGCGTGTTTATCAAAGGAAATTAATACTAATCTAGTTTTAGAATTACGTAAGGGCACCGTTACGTGTGTCAGGGAATTGCCGGTAAATTCTTGCCTGCAATATTAAGGAACTGACTCCTTCAACCCTGCATTGGCCTTGTTAAGACTAGCACTGTCATATGAAAAACGCAGTGTAGGCAATATGCTAGTTTTATGTTGTATGTGATTCAGCCTTCTCAAATAAGTCAGCGAAGGAAAACTGTACTTCTAGAAAACTACCATCCAGTTTTTTCACCTTTTTAAAAATAAATCTTTAAGGGGAGCCCGGCTGGCTTAGTCCATAGAGCATGGGACTCTTGGTCTTGGGGTCATGAGTTCAAGGCCCACATTGGATGTAGAGATCACTTAAAAATACAATCTTTTTTAAAAAAATACAATCTTTTGTTTATTGTTTAAAGATTTTATTTATTTATTCACAAAAGACACCGAGAAAGAGGCAGAGACAGAGGCAGAGGGAGAAGCAGGCTCCCTCCGGGGAGCGTGATGCAGAACTCGATCCCAGGACACCAGGATCGCAACCTGAGCCAAAGGCAAAAATGCTCAACCACTGAGCCACCCAGGTGCTCCAAGAATACAACCTTTAAAAAAAAAAAATCTTACTTTGGGGTAAACCAAAATACTTAGAGATTCAATCTGGGAAGTCTGTGTCTACCACAGAAAAGAAGACTCCGCGAAAGGCCAGGATAGGAAACGTCCCCTTATTTTCCAAATCGTCCAGTGAGGTTGTCTTAGATATAATTTTGTGTTTCACAAGTCCTACAAAAGTAAGCAATGCGAACCAGTCCTGAAATTGTTGGAAATGATTTTGAATATGACTCCAAAATAAGCACACCTAATTCATAGCGATGGTGAAACGTGTTTGTCTTCTTGAATTTAATTGGGAGGTAAGTAACTATATATTCAGAATTCTGTTTGCGAGGCCACGAATCCCGAGCAGTGCGATTTCAGCTTGTAGACTAACCTTTCTACAGGAAAGGTACCTGCCAGATAAATATCTTGTGCCTTGGAAATCATAACACAGCAAGGCTCATAGTTATATAAATAAAAGGTCTTTTATCTTATCGTGACCCTAAACTGCTGTTCGTTATCTTAAACTGCCTGATACAGGGTGGCTGCAGATCTGTTGGGTGTTTTCCGAGCCAGAAGCCTGCAAGAAGAGCTCTCCTTTATTTACCACTTAGTGTGTGCTACGTGCACGTTATGCATAGGCTCTCGTTTGATCCCACTGCAACGCCAGCGCCAGACCACTGTCCTCTGTCTGACAGAGGAAGACATGCAATGTTCACAGACTTCCTTACGAAAGGTTAAACAGCGAATAAGCATGAGACAGGCTTCAAAGCTGGCCCACTGGCCTCCAAAGTTGTGTCTACTCTACCACACTCCCTGCCCCTACAACAGATGAGAACTGAGAATATATTGGAAGTGAATAAATATAGATTGTTCTCATTTTCTAATCGTTGTAAGCACACTTGGGTTTTCTCTTCTACGTTCAAAAAAAAAATCTGTGAATTATGTTAGAGTTGAAAACTATCTCTCTGTTGGGCAGTGGCTTGCATGTAGGAAATTTAGTTGATTCCTGTTTCATTCATTGCTAGCATGGGCTTTGCCATTTTCCTGCCAAAGGTCCCAATTTTTAACAACATGTAATCGCCTCAGTCGTATCTACAGCAGCCTTGGTGACACCCTCAGAATAATTCTTGGTGGAAGCCATGTTGGGGGAATCTATAGGCTGCAGAAGGATACTTTCTTGCTAAGGAGATTTTAGACCAGCGATTGCCAATCCTGACTGCACATCAGATCCATCTGAGGAGCTTTTAAAACCCCTGCTGTTCACGCTGCACCTAGGCCATTAAATCAGAACATCTTGGGATGGGACCCAAGCATCAAGATTTTTTTTTTTTTAAAGCTCCTAAGTGACTCCAATGCTCAGCCAAGGCAGACAGTCATTGATTTAGAGGCTCTGAACTCCTTACTGCAGTGAAGGATTACCCTAGGAGGCCGGGAGTTCAATGAACTACCTACTTTCATCCTTGACTGTATGCCAAGGTCACCTCAGATCATTCCTCCCCTCACCTGAGCTTTTTTGAACCTATGAGATGCAGGGGCAGGAAAGAAGTTAGGACTTCCTCCTGGTGTTGCCTGCAGTTTTATTATGTGGAAAACAGGCCAAATTCAGATTTCTTCTGAAGAGGTGAAAGTCTGCATCTCGTCCCAGAACTCTGGATTCCTCCATAAAAGTGGGAATCATAGCCAGACAACCGCCCCTCTGCCTCCTTTGCCTCTTGTCCTTAGACTGTGGGGAATTCTATTCATTTTGGTGAAACTCTAACGTGACCTTAGAGAGGCCAGTTGACCATCAGCAATGATGAGAAAATGGAACAGAAGCAGAACACTTGGGTCCGACTTCCTTGTTTTGACCCTACCTGTGTTTGGTAACCATGGAGGAGGCATGCCATCTCTAGGGCTGGCTTTGCCCGTCTGCAAGTCCTAAATGACTGAAGCTCCACCACGTGAGAGATGATGAACCAGAAAGTCAGACAGTTACCAACTTGAGTTCGTATCAGTAAAGCAATTAATCCTTTCTTTTCGATATACAACATTCCTCCAGACATAAATATCTGCTCTTACTTGGGAATTCCACCTCCCTCCTTTTCCCCCAAATGTTTTCTTCGTGCAGTGTTTCAGAAGCAGGCAGTATCACAGAAAAGCTTGCTTCTGGCCTCTTCTGTTACGTGGACAACATGATCGGGCTCCTGAACTGCAATCTGGTGACTTGTCGTAGTTTGAAAGGCTGATTAACCGTAGACCGATGAGTCATGACTTTTTCTTTTTTTTATTTACTCCTCTTTGTGGGCCCCCTGGGTGGCTCAGTTGGTTAAGCATCAGACTCTTGATTTCAGCTCAGGTCATGATCTCAGGGTCCTGAGATCGAGCCCCACCTCAGGCTCCATGCTCAGCAGAAGGTCTGTTTGAGATTCACCCCTCCCCCTACTCATGCACATTTTTCCTCTCTCTCAAATAAATCTTTTAAAAAAATATATCTATGAAGAAATCAAAGATACGTCTTCAACTTATGGTTTCTGAATTTCAGTTGCCCCCATAATTCCCTTAGAAGTTTTTAGCAGTGCATTTAGTTTATATATATTTTTTATACCATGTGCTTACTTTATGGTACATAACAGTATATTTATGTAAAATATATTTACTGTATTGTCCATTCTAAGAGGTTTATCTGGTGAGTTATTTGTGTAATACACCAAGGTTAAATTAATAAATCATCACCTTCATCATTTTTAGGATTAGGCTTGCTCGGAATCATTAGACAAAGAAAAAAATCCATTAGCAAACTGTGCATCCAAATCTAACATGAATGTAGATAGAACTTTAAAGGAACATTTTGTTTCAGTTTGAACTAAAAGGGGAAACTCCTTAGAGTTTAACAAATTTTTAGCCTGAAATAGTCCCACCAGAATATAGGGCTTCGTAACTAGGAAAAGGAATAATGATCAAAAGTAAGATGATGTTTAAAATGTGCCATTTTACTGAATATAGACCAAAGGTCACACTGTATTGCTAAAGTACAGATTGCTTTTTGGACAGGGAATCACTGATCACCAGGCAGGCATTGAGCTTCTGTGACCTCAGAAGTTACCCAAGGCACCTGGGTGGCTTAGTGGGTTAAGTGTCCAGCTCTTGAGCTCAGCTCAGGTCTTGAGCTCAGGGTGGTAAGTTCCAGTCCTGCATTGGGCTCCGTGTGAAAAAAGAAGTTACCACAAAATCAGGAAGAAAACAAAGAGGTTTGACAAAAACCAGAGTGTCCTAGGAAAATAGGCAGTCAGGATATGTGTCATATGATACAGTATTGCTGCCTGCATAGCACCCACTGCACCCCGAATCGTATCTCTGGATCTCAACATGGTGTCATAAAAATGTATAGCCTGGTGGGGCTGGTCTGCAACTGAGAGTCACCAGAGGCTGAAGTGCATATGAAGCGATGAGAAGTTCTTTTCAACACACTTTGCATCCAGGTATCCTCGTGAAAAGAAATTATCAGTTCTTTACAGGAAGCATGGGAGGCCTGAAAAATCCCTTTCTGTACTCCCCTTAAGGTCTGAAGGCAAGAAGTCAAATAACAAATAATGTAAATGAGGGCAGAAGGCCAAGTACAAGACCAAAGGGAAGGGTGGTGACTCTAGCAAACTAGGAGTGGGGACACAGCTACTCGGGCCAGCCCACGCACAGCTCCAGCCCATCTTGGCTGTGTGGGAAACTGCTGGATTCTGTGCAATCATTGGATTTCTTGTGAATGCTCTTAATTTTTAAATGCTGGCAACTGATTCAAAATATCTTTTAAAGATTGTATTTATTTATTTCAGAGAGAGCGAGCGAGCATGAGTGGTGGAGAGGGGTATAGGGAGGAGGAGAAGCAGATTCCCTGCTGAGTGGGGAGCCCAACACGGGGCAGATCCCAGGACCCTAAGATCATGACCTGAGCCAAAGGCAGATGCCCAACCTACTGAGCCACCCAGGCATCCCTAAACATCTTGTAAACTGTTTTCTGGATAAACAAAATGCATCCGCAGGCTGAATAAGCCCGTAGACGGCTAGTTTAGGACCTACTTGTGTTTTAGACAAGAGAATGAACTAACTCATCTGTCTATTTATTTCAGGTCTGCCTTTCTTGAAAACCTAGCACCTTGAGCTCTCCAGTGACATGACCAGTGAAAGAAACTCATCTTTGCATGCTAAAAGCTTTCTGCATATAAAGCAATGGGGGGTTGGGTTTGTTTTATTTAACAGCCCTAGTAATTTTTAGTCTTTGTCTTCATTGAGGATTTTCGAAGAAAGCATGAAAATAAAACACCATCAGTCAATTCCCTTTTCCATGTCTCGAGACAGGACCTTTCATTGGCTTGTTTATCAACACCTGTGGGTGTCGCCGGACTGCCATCATCGGAGGGCTGGTGAACTCACTAGGCTGGGTACTGAGCGCCTATGCCGCAAACGTGCACTATCTCTTTATTACCTTTGGAGTGACAGCTGGTAAGCATGTTGATTATTTTTAACCTTAATTTTAAATATATTTGTTGGGCATTTTGACAATGAATACTTGTGGAGAAAAAAAGAACCATTGAAATATTAAAATATTTTGTCCTTTTTTTAAAAGATTTTATTTATTTTTTCTTTTTTAAGATTTTATTTATTTATTTATTTATTTATTTATTTATTTATTTATTTCAGAAGAGAGAGCCCCGAGCAGGGGAGGGAGGGAGCTGGGAGGGGCAGAGGGAGAAGGGGAAGCAGACTCCCCGATGAGCAGGGAGCCTGAGGTGGGGCTTGATCCCAGAAAAGCCCTGGGATCATGACCTGAGCCCAAGGCAGACGCTTAACTGACTCAGCCACCTAGGCATCCCAGATTTTGTCCTTTTCCTCCACCCCACCCCACCAGGAAATACTTTTTAGTATAAGATATTAAATATGCCTTAAGTGTGGAAAAACAACCTAACAAGTGTACTTGGCCTTCCTGTTAGAATTTAATTAAATTTCCCATGATTGGTTCTAAGTGCTAGTCTTCTCTCTTATGAAGAGTAGGAAAAAGGAAGGTAATAACAGTCTTGGGTGAATAGACCAAATATTAAGGAAATTAATAACATTCTGTCATTTAATAACTACAGAATGGAGCATGAATCATAGAATAATTATTTTCTCCTTTCGCTCTATTCAAATGAATGACAAAGCAGCAAAATCCACATATATGTAGAGACCCTTAGGAAGCAAAACTAGAGCAGAGAGTGTCACTCCCCAGGGGAACAGGTAAAAATTGGCTACCAGGTGGTTTGCATATCCGTTCTGCAAAATACATTTCCAGCTATTATTTCCTTTATCAACGGGTAGCCGAATTCACACAGATAAGAAGTATCTTAACTTGTACAATTGAATTGCAGTGAACCGGATCCAGCCTGACTTGAAATCCAGAGCTACAATCCTAATAAATGACACACTGACAGAAATGTTGGTATAAGAGTTAAAAGTTAGAATACGGAAGTCTTGCTTCCCCCCCACCCACTTATTATCTGTGTGACTTCAGGCAAACTACTTAACCCACTTATGCCTCAGTTTCCTTATCTGCCAAATGGGATCATTAAGTGCTCTGTTTAAAGGGTGGTTGAAATGATTAGGAGATTATCGGTGTAAAGCACTCAGCACAATACTTATCACAAAACAGAATCCTTGGTAAGTGTTAGCTAATATATAATTGTTGTATGGAATGTAGCATTCTTATTATAAGCTTAAGTGCCTACTTTATGATAGCCGGAGACGTGAACACGAAGACCTCCTCTCCAAATAAGTTGGCGAGCTGATTCTCTGTAATTTACGTTGATCCACATTTACACATAAAGCACTTCTATGTCCTTTGAATCATAGTTTTAAAACCATGGATCTGAAGGACTTGGTAACAGTTCTTAAAGAACAGCTTAAGATGTTTTCCTGAGTGTTACCTAAACTTCCCCCCAAATACTCCAATGAATAGAGCCAGCACTGGGATTTTTATATTGTGGGTGAGGAAATAAACACTCCTGCCGAAGCTAGGGAGTAACACTGGGGTCTCCGTGGCACCTCCTGTGAACTGGATGTGGTGGTCACTGATTATATAGACTTGGTCCTAAAAACTGAGACTTGAGATTAATTCCCCTCATTTAGAGATTCCTATGATTCGATTCTTTGTTTACAGGATTTTTTTTTAAATTTATTTATGATAGTCACACACAGAGAGAGAGAGAGAAGCAGAGATACAGGCAGAGGGAGAAGCAGGCTCCATGCACCGGGAGCCCGACGTGGGATTCGATCCCGGATCTCCAGGATCGCGCCCTGGGCCAAAGGCAGGCGCCAAACCGCTGCGCCACCCAGGGATCCCCGATTCTTTGTTTAAATGAACTTTTTTTCTTGCAGTTAATTGCTGATTGACCTGCAATTGATATTGTTTCCATAGTCATTCACTTATTTATTCAACAGATAGTTCTGGACCCAAGGAAGTAGGAGGAAAATCAGGGGGCTGGTGAAAGGGAAGTGTGTCTTGAGACTCTTTATTACTCCCACTTGTTATACAGGAAAAACCAAAAAAAAAAAAAAAAAAACACTCTGCAAATAAATGTATCCACCTCCCCCACAAATATATATCAAACTATATTAAACTGGAAAATCCAGCTAAATCAGTTAACTTATATATGCAAAACTCTGGGCTGTCACTAGAGAGGCATGTGGATGCTGATTAGCAATCTAGGCCCTATTTAACAGAAAAGAAAAAAAATGGGAAGATCTGCAAAAAGAAAGCACTTGAGGGGCACCTGGGTGGCTCAGTTGGTTAAGCATCTGCCCTTGGCTCAGGTCATGATCTCAGTGTCCTGAGATCGAGTCCTGTGTCAGGCTCCCTGCTCAGTGGGGAGTCTGCTTCTCCCTCTCCCTCTGCCTGCTGTGCGCGCTCTCTCTCTCTCTCTCTCTCTCTGTCAAGTAAATAAATAAAATATTTTTAAAAAGAAGGAAAGAAAGCCCTTGAGAAACACATTTCACTGTATAATTTACGTTTGAGAAAAAACTTTGCTGATATCCTGCTTCCTTCCAAAAAGTATTTGAGACAGATTTGTTTGTATCTCTCTCTCTCTCTTTTTTCTTTAACATCTAGGCAATTAAAACTGTGTAGGAGTATCCTCCTATTAAGCGGAAAAAAATAATGTCTTACTTAGCCGAGGGAGTCTGGACAGATTTGTTCAGCCTCACCAGAGCTCCGTTCTCTTAAGCCTGTCTCCTGAGGACACCTTTCCCCCCATCCCCAGTGACCCAGAATCTCAGGATTTTTTTCTTCCCATCTGGGCCTCTTTCCTCCACCTGGTTGGTAGGGCCGTAAGCTCATCCTCGGAGCCCGTGAATAGTTATTCCAGGGCCCTTCCCAGGGCTGGACATTAGCAGAGCCTTGGCTGACCACTGGGCTTGAGCCACATATCCCCAGGGCCTGTCCTATAAGCTCATGCAATAATTGTGCTCATTACAGACAACAGAGCCACGTGAGGAGGGGAGGATGCTGGTAAGGACATGGATGGTGTAACAGGGAAATAGATACTTGTGACGTTGGGCGTGGATTTTGTTTTTTCTTCATATACGGGAGCATTTATTATTCACACTAATTTAGAATTAGTGCTGCTCTTAGGTATCTCGGTTCTATTCCTATTAATCATTTTATTCTGCTGTTGTTTAGAAATCCATAACCACACTAAATTTAGGATGTTGGTTATTGTCGGTCACAAATCAAATTTTTCTAAAAATTAAACTCATTTTGTGCTCTCAGCAAAATCTAGACGATGACAAATTTGACAGGACAAATGACCCAGTTTCCTCACAAATAAATGTCAAGAAAAAAGAAAGAGAGATAAATTTTAAGAAAAAAATAGAGGAATTTAAAAGAGACTTAAAAATCATATCAAAGAATAGCACTGTGTGGGCCTTACTTGGATCCTGATTTTAAAAAAAAAAGTATTTTTAAAAATAGTCATTTATGAGACAATTAGAAATTTGAACACCTTCTGGATGTTTCATGATATCAAGTAAATTGTTCATTTTTTTCAGTTAAGATATGATGATTATGCTGTTTAAAGAATTCTTCTCTTAGAGATTTATACTAAAATATTTGCACTTGACATGATATATGTGGGATTTGCTTTACAGTTAGAGGGAGGAAGGAGTGTGTTAGTGGACTATTTTTCTCTGCTTCTTTGAATATTAGGAAGTTAGAGATTCTGTTTTTTATGGACTTAAACATCATACAGATTAATCCAGAGTTTAGTTCAAAATTAAGGCTAGTCATTTTCTTCATGCTAATTTATCACATAATGCAAATTATGATCATTGTCCTCTCTGAGCTTGCAAGGGGGACCTGCTCCCACTTGTGCTGGGAATCACTTAGAAGCTTGCTTAACTGTTCTTAAAACAAGGGTATCCACCTGAAGAGTGGTTGAGGCTCATTGATTTCTGACAGTTGCTGTAAATATCACTACTTTTAGGTAAATAAAGGAGGCAGGTTGCTTCTGGAGGCTTCTTTTGGAAACTCAGGCTGAAGCAAAATCCTTCATCAAAATCCTACCTGCAGGCAGCCAGGGAGATGAGAGTTTTAGGGTGAGAGGCAGTGGGAAAGGACCAGACTCTGCAGTTGGGTCTGAGTTCCACCCTGGATTATCCAGGTCCCTGCAGCTCGTCTTGGGCAAGTAGCTTAAGTCTTCATGAGGCTCGAGAAAGGGGCATAGGGATACCTGGCCTGCCCAGTCAGAAGAGCATGCAACTCTTGATTTTGGTGTCGTGAATTTGAGTTGAGCCCCACCTTGGATGTAAAGATTACTTAAATAAATAAAAGGTGGTGTGGGTTTTTGGGGGGGTTTTTTGTTTTGTTTTTTTAAGATTTTACTTATTTATTCATGAGACACAGAGAGAGAGGCAGAGACACAGGCAGAGGGAGAAGCAGGTTCCATGCAGAGAGCGCGACTTGGGACTTGATCCCGGGTCTCCAGGATCACACCCTGGGCTGCAGGTGGCGCTAAACCGCTGAGCCACCCAGGTTGCCCCCCCCCCCTTTTTTTAAGGGTAGACCCACAGCTAACTTCTGGATTATTGTGAAAATCCAGTCACCTAAAGCCTATAAAGCAACTGGCCCATCATCCATCATTGGTACTTAATTAATGGTAATTAGTATTATAATTGTATGTATGATGGCTCTGGTTTCTCTCAAAGTCAAGTATTTCTGGAACTATTAAATGATGCTGAACTAAGGAGACTTTGGCTCTGGGACACAACATTGGTCAAAGTCTCTTTTGTACTCTCATGCTGCCATCCTAATGTCAGGAAGTCTCAAGCATTAGAACCATATGGAGCCCCATGATCATTGAAGTAGGTCTTATGGTTTCCCTCTGTCTATACCTAGAAGTTGATAATGCACCCACAACCTCCTGGCCAGTATTTTATTTCATTTCATTTCATTTTTTAAAAAATAGATTTCATTTTTTAGAGCGGTTTTAGGTTCACAGCAAAATTGAGCAAAAAGTACAGAGAGTTCTGTTATACCCCGTGCCCGGAGCACACACGGTCTCCCCCACCAGCATTTTAATTTTGTTGGTGGAAATCACCAACTGATCCAATTTTTCTCAGAAAGACACAAGTGGAAGTCAGAGCTACAAATAAGTATTATGTGGTTTTGACATCCAGTAGCTGGGTATATTTATGGGCACATTCCTTTTATTCTTCCTATTAATTTGTGCACAAATGGACCCATTCCTGAGGCTTCTGCAAATTGCCCGGACTCGCTCTCCATCCGCTTGTACATAAATACTTTCCTGAGCGCTTAATGCAGTTGGCAGTGACAGCAGGGCCCCAACATCTGTTCATTCTTTCATTCATCCGTCTTCTCACCCATTCATTCATTCTGCTATTCTGATGTGAGAATGCTGGATTATTTTATTATTGGAGTAGCCCGTGCTGCAGAGCCCTTTGGAGGGAAATGACGGGCTGGAAGATTCCATGGATGACCCTCATGGTGCTTACCCACGGATCTTTTTTTTTTTTTTTTAAAGAAACAACAACAACAAAACACTCAAGACACAGACCCAAACTGGATTTTATTGAAATGCCAGGAGCAGGTGCATGTCAAAGTAGGGAGGGAGGGAGGGAAGGAAGGAAGGAAGGAAGGAAGGAAGGAAGGAAGGAAGGAAGGAAGGGGAAGGAAGAAAAGGAAGGAAAAGGAAAAGGAAGGAAAGGAAGGAAGGAAAAGGAAGGGAGGAAGGAAGGAAGGAAGGAAGGAAGGAAGGAAGGAAGGAAGAAGGAAGGAAGAAGGAAGGGAGGAAGGAAGGAAGGAAGGAAGGAAGGAAGGAAGGAAGGAAGAAGGGAGGGAGGAAGGAAGGAAGGAAGAAGGAAGGGAGGGAGGAAGGAAGGAAGAAGGAAGGAAGGAAGGAAGGAAGGAAAGGAGGAAGGAAGTGCAGGCTGTATGAGGTGGCAGGGAGGGGCATCCCCTCTCTCCTCTCCGCCAAGGGCCGAGTGGGCCGCTGGCCCTTCCCCCACCCGCCCCCACAACAGCACGCCTGGGCCTGCAGGGCCTTTCCCCCTGGACCGTGGAGGCCCCAGCAGGGGCTGGAACACTCCTTTTTTTCCTCTCTTGTGAGCGAGGAGAAGGAAAGGATGCAGGAGGGGGAGGTACGTTTCATACAAACGTTACTTCTTTGTGTAAAAGGGAAAAAAATAGCATAAAGATGAACCTGATGAAACGCAGATGACGAGGGCATCAGTGGCTGAGCATGTGCCTTGGGCCCAGGTCCTGACCCTGGGGTCCGGGGATGGCGTCCCGCATCGGGGTCCCCTAGGGAGCCTGCTTCTCCCTCTGCCTGTGTGCGTGTGTGTGCGCGTGCGTGTGTGCGCGCGTGTGCCTGGTGGATAAACGAGACCTTGAAAAGAAGGAGCGAGCTGCAGATGACCTGGGCGCGCCGCGCCCCTGTCCCCACCGCCCGCAGGCTTGGGCAGCGGGATGGCCTACCTGCCGGCCGTGGTCACGGTGGGCAGGTACTTCCAGAAGAGACGCGCGCTGGCGCAGGGCCTCAGCACCACCGGGACGGGGTTCGGCACGTTCCTCATGACGCTGCTGCTCAAGCACCTGTGCGCGGAGTACGGCTGGCGCGACGCGATGTTCATCCAGGGCGCCGTGTCCTTGAACCTGTGCGTGTGCGGCGCGCTCCTGAGGCCCCTGGCGGCGCGCGGGGACCCCGAGGGCCCGGGCGGGGCGGCGCCGGCTCGCCCGCCGGGACCGGGACCGGGACCTGGACCTGGACCGGGGCCGGGGGCCGCGGACCCCGAGGAGCAGGCGGGGGAGCCCCGGGGCGCCCTCGGGGTCCTCAAGACGGCCGGCCGGCTGGGCAGGAGGGTCCGCAAGGGCTTCCGCGACTGGTCCTCGGGCTGCTTCGGGACCGCCTCGCTCTTCACCAACCGGAGGTTTGTCGCCTTCGTTCTCTGGGCCTTGTTCGCCTACAGCAGCTTTGTCATCCCCTTCATCCACCTCCCGGAGATAGTCCACTTGTACCGTTTGTCCGCGCAGAACGACGTGTTCCCTCTGACCTCCATCATAGCCATGGTGCACATCCTCGCAAAAGTGATCCTGGGCGTCGTGGCCGACCTGCCCTGCATCAGCGTCTGGAACGTCTTCCTGATGGCCAACTTCACCCTCGTCCTCAGCATCTTCATTCTGCCCCTGATGCACACCTACGCCGGCCTGGCCGTCATCTGCGCCCTGATCGGCTTTTCCAGCGGCTGTTTCTCCCTGATGCCCGTGGTGACCGAAGACCTGGTGGGGATCGAGCACCTGGCCAACGCCTACGGCATCATCATCTGTGCCAACGGCATCTCGGCGCTGCTGGGACCACCTTTCGCAGGTAAGCGCCGCGGGGTTGCAGATGCTCCCCGCGCCTGGGGACGGTTGGTTGGGTTCGCCTTTGTATTTTGAAGTCCAAGGCAAATGAGAAAGAAGCTCCGGTTTGCCTTCACCCTCCTTCCCCTTTCTTTCTTTCTTTTTTTTAATATATATATATATATATTTATTTATTTATTTGTTTATTTATTTATTCATGAAAGACGCAGAGGAGAGAGAGAGGCAGAGACACGGGCAGAGGGAGAAGCAGGCTCCATGCAGGGAGCCCGATGTGGGTGGGACTCGATCCCAGGACTCCAGGATCAGGCCCTGGGCCAAGGCAGGTGCTAAACCGCTGAGCCACCCAGGGATTCCCTCTCCTTCCCCTTTCCATTCCAGTCCCCCAACTTGTCACTGGCAAATGGTAGCAAGGGAAGGGTCATTCTTTCCAACAGAATGCAGACGAGCTCTGATCTTTGTCTGCGAAGGCCAGGCTAGTAAGGTGGGCGATGGAATAGTGCAGAAACCCCGGTCCATCCAGGGGAGGCAGCCTCTGCCCACCTCCAACGGATTTCTGTCACCAAGAAATGTGGAAAATTATTGCCAGATCCTCTACTGTTAGGGTTTTTGTCCTCCAAGAAAAAATGAGGACTCTGGGCTCAGCTCTTAGGTGACAGGTCCAGATTTTTTTAATTGAATTTCCTTTAACTTAATTTCTTTTTAAGTGAACAGAGTTGACATACATTACATTAGTTTCAGGCGTACGACATAGGGGCTCAATAATTATGTACAGTGTGGGATGCTCACCATGATGGGTGTCATTACCACAACATTTCCACATTTTTAAAACACGGTGTGTAGGTCCCACACAACACATGTATGAGCTGGATCTAGCCCGGTAACAGTTTCTTGTCGCTGCTATAATAATTGCCACAAACTTAGTGGCTTAAGACAATACAGGATTATTATCTCTCAGTTCTAGAGGTCATGAGGCTGCAGGCTCAAAGTATCAGCAGAACTGCATTCTTTCTGGAGGCTCTTTGAAGGAATCCCCCCCAACTTTTTTTTTTTTTTTTATCTTTTAGAGCTTCTAGAGACCGCCTGCATCTGTAGCTCCTAGGCCCTTCCTGCACCTTCTAAGCCAGTGACACAGCAGTGGTCATAGACCTCTTTCTGATTCTGACTCTCCTGCCTCCTTCTTGCACTTATAAAGACATTTGGGTTACATTGGGTCTGGGGAACAATCCATGATAACCCCCATCACAAGGTCCTTAACCCAGTCACATCTGCAGAGTCTTTTTTTTGCCACATAACATGACATTCATAGGTTCCAGGGATTAGGGCTTGAGCAGTTGGGGAGAGTTGGGGCATTTGCCCACTGGAGGCCCGGAGGCCACCAGCTGACGACATCCAGGGCAAGCTCTCTCACACGTGTTCACCTCAGTTCAATGGAAAACTTACTTCTTGCAATGGGCATACCAGAAATCACAGGTACCGACGAGTCCTATGGCAGCCGGGGACCTCTCTGAACCTGTTGTTTGTGGAAAAACACATGAGGATTGGCCGGTAGTCTTAATCCCCAAGAGGCCCAGGTACTGGACGAAGGTGACAAAGTCCACCCTCTGTCCAGAGATTGGAGGCAGGGGCTGGGGCCAGACCTCAACACAAAGGTGCTAGCCAGAAGTGGCGTGCAGGGCTGCCAGGCCAGGACTGGTGGCTTTTGTCGAAGCCACCAGAGGTTTTGTGCAATGCTGTAAACGGACTTGTTAGATGCCCGCACTCCCTGCTCATCTGGCCCCTCCTGGCCCTTTGTTCCTGTATCCTCTGCAGGAATCCCTCTTCCAGGGAACCCAATAGGTGCAGGACATGGCCATCCCTGTCCCTTCCTTCCCAGTCTCTCTAGGGATCATACAGTCATCTCCTATCCTAAAACCTCACTGGCTTATATCAACACATTCACTTTAAAGCACCCTACAAAAATAAAAAATAAAATATAATAAAATAAAATAAAAATAATAAAAGTAATGAAGTTCCCTACAGAATTTGAAGCTCAAGAAAGCAGGGATTTTTGCCCATACAGCTGACAACACTGGCAGCTGGCTGAATAACAGTTTAAGAACCAAGACTCACTTTAGGAAACCCAGCAGCCCACGAGGACCCCTCCTAGGTCAAGCTGCTCCTGTTCTTTGCCTGTATGCAGAGATGCAGGCACAGCATTTCTAGGTGACGGTCAATAACTATGTAAGTGCAGCAAACTGTATTGACAGCCGTAAAGTCTGAACTCGCTCAGTGATCTGTAGAATTCTCAGTTAGGGATGCATCTGGCCATAAAAGAACACCCCACCAATGGTAGCTTAAACAGAGATTTAATTTATTTTGCATCGAATATAGCTGACATACATTACATTACATAATTGTGTCACGTAAACCAAAATCTATAATTCAGAGATACCGGATGGTGTTGAGATAGCGTCTCCAAGAACCTCTTGGCCTTTTCCTCATGCCAGTTGCCTCATGGCCACACAATGGCCACTGCAGCTCCAGCCCCTACATCCTCGTCTGTAACAAGGAGGAAAATGGGAAAAAAGACTCCGTTTCAGCAGACTTTCATTTTCATCTGATTGGCCAGAACTGTGTCAGACAGCTAGTCCATGCTTCAAAGGGAATTGTATTTTGCTTCCTAGCCTCTGTAGTCGAGGAGGGAAAAGAAAAAAGAAGGGAGGTTGGGGGATGGATCAGGCAACCAATGGTACCTTCCAGAGATGTTAAAATGAAATAACCCATTAAGGGGATGCGGATATTATCGGTGGCTCATCCGTTCTCTTGCTGAAGGTTCTCCAGTTATATTGTCTGTGGGAATGGAATCTGTCGATGGTTCTTTTCATGATCCAGGCGTACTTTCTGCTTCTCATAGTCAGTCTGGGGTTATTTTTACACCGATCCACCAGTTTTCAGTAGCAGCATCCCAACACAGCTGTGAGGTGGGGCTTAGGCAATTCATGATCAATCTTCATTAGAGCACCGACGTCGGCCTGCATGATTTCTTTATCTCATTCCCATGTCATGTCCTTCTCACCAAATAGCATTCCAGAGCACTTTTTGGAGGGGAGGAGAAAGGAGTTAGAATGGGAAGCAGGGAGTTATCTCGAGCCCTCAGTCATCAGGCGTTACCTCTGCCTGCTTCAGGGTCCTAGACGTAGGCTCGGTAGCTGAATGCCATCCATGGACTCTGAAATCAGTGTTCTGCTGTGCGTCTCTAGGCCAGCAACCAAGGGGACTCTCTTATTATGTGTTTCTTCTCCTTGCACTGAAATCATCCACCAAGAAATGCTGAACAGCATCGTTGGCTAATGGCGTTGCACTTAATGCACAGACTTTCCAGGCCAAAGAGCCAACGTCCAGTGAGATGTAAGCCTGGTCTTTCTTGCCTCGTAGCTCAGAAGCGACTGGCAGTACAAATGACCAAATTACCACATTAAATCCTTGCTAGAAATTCAAGGTGGGCCAGGAATTATTACCTGCGGGGTTTGCTACAGGGAAAATGATTGTTCACGTTACCTTTTTCTTTTTTAATGGGTTCAGAAATGAATGTGTTTTCCATTTTTCAAAGTGGTTTCTACTGGCATACAGAAATCTGGCACCATTCTCTAGTGTGTTAGACAATCGCTCAGTTCCATTTAGAAGAATGTACAATCAGAGAGTGAACAGACATTTCAGCTGTGTCATTTAGCAACAAGAACTTCTTGATCTAATTCATTTATAATATTGTTGGGCATTCAGTTCATCTCTGTAAAGATGTCATAAAAGGGCATACTTTTCTAGACGTTTTCAGTGCAAAATACAGCAAAACGTGGCCACCAGAGTTGCCTAAATCTGCGTATACCTCCTCTCTTTGCCTAAAATATAACAGCATAGCAACAATTTGCAGTGTTTTTCATCAAAAGCTGGGAATACCTACTTAATAAATATGAAAAGTAGCCATCATTCCTCATCTGAGAGCTCTAAGGAAAAGTGAATGCAACTTCATAGGGAACCAGATTTTACTTGGAAGCTGTTGATTTGAATTGATGGTTGGATCGGAGTTGCCAAAGGATGCCAGGCTCCGAACCAAGGAACTGGGATCAGACCCGTAGGGAGAGGTGGTGAAGGATGAATGAGGTGGGCAGAAACATCATTTCTCTGAAGAGTTATGTCCCTGTGTGCTGGCTATCAAAGCTCATGGTGAAGTCCTATCTCTCCTGACCCGCTTTGCCTCTGATGCAGGAATGGATTCGGTTCAAACCCGCAGAAATGTTACAACATTTCTGCCAAAGATCAAGGGCAGGATCCAGAGTCATTTACAAGTAAATCCTAAAGGTAGACCAGAGAAACCTAGGGGATAATTCTCACATAAAATTTAGGACAACTGCTCCAGTTTGTTACTATGAAATTGTTTGGAGGAATTGGGTGCGCTTTTTAAAAAAAAATGGACACACGAGTTACTTTTATATATTTTTTATTTTTTATTGTTTTTTACGACTTACTTTTAAAGATAGACCCCCTTTTACAAACATTTATACTTTTTGAGGAAAGAAAATATTTTAAAATATGATGGACTCAGTTAACAACTGTAACAATGTATAATGTACTTAGCATTTTCTGTAGTCTGCAGGGGCAAGAGGGGGGATCGAGCGGAAAGCAGGGGATGCTAGGGTGTTAGGGACGATGGTGTTTATTACCGTCCCCGCAGGAGGGGGAACTGAATACGGACAGACAAGAAACCAGGAGAAAATGTGTTTAGAACTCCAAAAATTGGTGGCTCATGCTCCCGGTTAAGCTTGGGGCTCCAGGGGAAAGAGGGAGGCAGGGGCCACATCACAGAGCCCCGGAGCTTATCATATTCAACTACTTCAAACAAAAAAGGAAATACGTAGTCTGAACTAAATACAAATTAATTTTCCAGTCAGTTAAGACTTTGTCCCATCTCTGAGATCCATGTTCAGCCGCAATGATAGTTCAGCTCATTTCAGATGTCAGTGTTTGGGACTCACAGCCATGATCTCAACGCTGTCACCCAACCATATGAAAAGCACAGATTTAACTATTGAGGTGACAAGAGCACCTTTCATAGGGGTTGAGTGGGGTATGAGAACCTCATTTATATTTATTGATTGTTTTTAATTGTGGCCTCTAGATAGCCCCGTTGCACACTCAGTTTAGACACAGACCACACCTTGTTCCCTGCGAGGGAACCCTTCACTTCTTCCTAATTCAGAGGCTGGAGGGTGTCACACAGCGACACTGAGCCGAGTTGGGTGCGTTCTTGCTCATATGTCATATCCCAGTGCCTTCCTGATTCGGTTCTGAGGCCGAAGCTTTGCTTTTGGATTATATATTTAATCTCCCTCGTTCCTCTGGTTGCAAACTGGAGATTAAGAAAAGCCAGTAGAGCTTTTTCCCCACGCTGCATCTCAAGAGTGCGGGGTTTTCCTCTTTCGTGTGTTTGGATCAAATAACAAAACTCCAAAAAAGTTGGTTGACTTTTCAAGTGTATCTGGAGTCCACAGCTTGTAAGTGGTTAAAATATATAAATGTTTCATGCAGGCAAGTGTTTGTTTTCCTTTATGACTACCTTGACTCACCCAGGCCTGTTAATTATGCAGGAGATACAATAAGGAGCGAGACAGACCATTGCCAGGAAGTCAGAGGTACTAATTGGCACATTTAGCAGTTGCTTTTGTGTAGCTGTTTGTTGGTGGGAGAAGGTTCAGTTGCATTTATGCAATCATGTGCCAGTTAGATATTTCTTAAAAAGACATTTTTGCCAAGTGTTCACGAAACACCATGTTTCGTCCTTAAGTCATTCCTGTTTTCTTTATGTCTTTGCTAATATGTACCTGTTGATATGAAAAAAAGCGAATGTTCAAAATTTACGTTTTTACCATAAATGAAATTCTTGTGGATGGCTTCATCCTCTCAGTTCACATGGTTTGGCTACGTGGGGACCGTGACATGTGACTGATTCTTAGATTTAGTCACTGACGTCTAATTACATTTCATTAGTTTCTTTAAAAAAATTTTTTTTTATTTAATCATGAGAGACACATAGAGAGAGAGAGAGAGAGAGAGAGAGGCAGAGACACAGGCAGAGGGAGAAGCAGGCTCCGCGCAGGGAGCCCGACGTGGGACTCGATCCCGGGTCTCCAGGATCACACCCTGGGCTGAAGGCAGATGCTTAACCGCTGAGCCACCCAGGCTGCCCCATATTTCATAATTTCTGAGAATTTTTTTTCACACTTTAACACTTCTGAAATTGGAATGCATTTTACAAAGTCCCAGGAAAACAGAGTCGTATTTTAACTGACAAGGATATTTCTTTCTTATCGCTACATAAGATAATGATGCATCATGCAACTCGTGATACCTTAGAATCCTTGAAGTATAGTAGTGTTTTGCGGAGTGCCTAGTAAGATTATTATATGAAAGTTTTAGGTTATAGTATTAAAAACTGATAATTTAGTCAGCATTGAAGGTCATATCCTTGACAATTTAAAGTTCTCTGTATATAGAAATATTAAAGTTTTATAGCTGTAAATGTGAATTTTATAAGACATGGACCATCCTTATAGAACAGATGTTGACTCTCAAATATTCCACAGTGAATGAAAGTTCAAATGTCTTCTGCTCAGCCTCTTTTGATATACCCTAGAAACTTCTTCAGAAGAGTTTCGAAGGTTTGAGAAAAGATTTGTGGTTATATTTGTGAAAAAAGAAAATCATTAGGTTCACATTTCATGGCTGGCTGTGTGCCAGCCTGAGAGACTCAGGGCTGGGAGCCAGATTCTCCCAAGAGTCGGCCAGCTACTGTTTCCATACCTTAAGCACTTTGTAAGGTATCCTAGCAGCTTGGAAGCTAAATGCCTGCCATTTTCAGGCCCTGAGAACTCTGGCTTATATAGCCTGGGCTTAAAAATGGCTAAATGAAATGTTTGGGGCACTATATGACATATAAATAAGTTCTTATAGAAATATTTACAGGAGTGAGAATTGTGTTCTTGACTTTTAGCAATTACGTTACGCTGAATAGATTCCTTTTTGTTTTGCAGGCTGGATCTATGACATCACAGAAAAATACGATTTTTCCTTTTATATATGTGGCTTACTCTACATGGTAGGAATACTCTTTTTACTCATTCAGCCATGTATTCAAATGATAGAACAATCCAGAAAAAAATACCTGGATTCTGCCCACGTTTAGCGTCATGTTGTGTTTCCTGGAAGATTTCTTTGTGGTACTCATGCCTACCTCACATGGTTGCTGTGAGGAGCCTGTGACGTTGTGGGGGAAGTGCTTTGTATGGTTGCTGGCACTGTCACTTGTAAATGCCATGGTCACGACTTCATCTGAAAGCTTCACTGCCTCTTGGGTTGGGAAGAAGCAATGCGCGCAAGGTATGTAAGACTTACCTGCTTTTTAGAGATGACAATGTCCTTCGAAGATGGCCTGTTAAATAATTGGTAGAAATGCCCTTACAGAAACTATTCCATCATCACCCACTGGGCCTAAGCTTTTAGATACAGCTTTTGAAAAACCAAGATGAGGAATAAAATCTTTTCAACTCAACTACTCCTTGTACGGTGGAAATACATTATCGAAGTGCTTCTGGAAAGCTTATAGATGAATGGGTTTCAAGCACAAGAATACGACGAGGCTTCAGAACGTGTTACAGGTCACTGTTGATCTAGTCAACAAAGCAAAGGCAAAGGCAGGCTCTAATTTCAAAGGTAATACATTTAGTACAATTAAAGAAACACAGTTTATATTTTTATGGAAGAATTTTGCAGCGAGGGAGCACAGGTTTTCAATCTTCCTCTAAGAAAAGCACCTATCATCCATCCTAATTTAGTATTATTTAGTGGTTAACTGAATCCTAAGACAAAACCTAGATAAATAATAATGACTTCCTTAGCAAAAAGTCGTATCTGTCACGCAAACATGGAATCAAGGGCTATGGTTCGAGCAATTTTACTCATATCATTGGCCTCTTCGTTTAGAAGCATGATCTGAGGTTTATGAGAATTTTTTTTCTGAGTTTCTCCCGCCCACTAAATAAAACAGAGAAGCAACTACTGGCTGATATATAAAGTTGGCAGTTAAATCATCTGGAAAGTGTGTTACTAAGCCAAAACGAGCGACTCTCAAGTTGCGAGGGTAATAAACGGAACAACCTTAGGCTACACGTCTGTGCACTTGACGCTGGAGTGGTGGTGACCCTTGGTCCTTCTCTGGGGCCTCTTGTTATAGAGACAATTCATCTGCCTGAGCTCGACACGCTTTTAAAAATTGTTCTGTTCATTGATTTCATACGCAAGATAACTGTAATCCATGACATCGGGTAACGCTCTTCCTTTATCCGAGATCTCTATTTTTCTAGGCCAATTTTCCGACTGCAGCGTGTTCTCCCCCAGAATCATTTCTGAAATCTCGGGCTGCCTTACTTAATTACACATATTTTAGAACCATTTCAATTTCTACTCACAATTTGCTCCTCACACACATACAAATCCTTTAATGCCATTGCCAGTGTCTGGGGTCAAACGCATCTAAAGTGAGCACAGACCATTCTCAATTATCCTTGGTTATTAGAGGCAGGAATTGTACCAGCAATTGGCATCACCGAGTGTTACCCCAAGCTTGATTTTCGCCAATAGTTTCAGACTTTCCCTCCACCGAGTGCTTCAGAGTTGTTAACAAGTTTCCTTCGTGTTCCATCTCCATTATTTCCTGTTTTAACGTCTAGTGGGAGGGGTTGTATAACCAAAGGGACCACCAAAATCACAATAATAATAAAAGGCAGCTAATGGAAAGGAGAAACAAAAGCATGGTTAGTATACGCACTCAATATTACCTCTAATGACTCAAGAATCGCCTGTAAATTGTTATAGATAATAAATTGCATGTCATCCTCCATTTGGTTCAACACGACGACCTATTTGTTATCATTACAGCTTTGGCTGCTGTTTTAGAATCCAGCTGTCTATTTTGATCAAGGTATTCCTAAATCCTGAGGCAATGCTCTCTCTCTCTCTCTAGATATTTACTGTAAAATCAGATAATTAGACTGAAAAAAAACACGTGTTTTAAAACGGACTACAGGGATCCCTGGGTGGCGCAGCGGTTTGGCGCCTGCCTTTGGCCCAGGGCGCGATCCTGGAGACCCGGGATCGAATCCCACATCGGGCTCCCGGTGCATGGAGCCTGCTTCTCACTCTGCCTGTGTCTCTGCCTCTCTCTCTCTCTCTGTGTGAATATCATAAATAAATAAAAATTTAAAAAAAATAAAAAAAATAAAACTGACTACATGACTTCCATTACTTCCATTTTCAGACAACACCGAATTAAGTATTTTGAATGGTGCTATAGCCAATGCGTTTTGATGCTTGCGCTGCTGGCTGTGCATCATGAACAGGATCTTTTTAATCCAGTTACGCGGCTTTCGTTATACCCAAGTTAGATCGGCTCATGTGCAGTTTATACAGGTGTTCACTGACTCTCTGCATTTATGGAATAGTGATTTCTACCAAATCAGAAGTTCCTATTTTACAAAAACAATAAAACCTGCTTGCAATATTCATGTTGATAAGAGAATAAAAGAGAATGCTATGAAGAATCACAGCAAATAAATGAATACTTCTCGTTTAAACTATGTTATTCCTTACAGTTCTTTGACAATATTATAAAGGGTTAATTGTATATTTATACCATGTGTTTATAGTGTGCCCCTCACATACCCAACTAATTTTTATTTACATATGATGAAATAAATTTTGTCCTCTTTAAAAATGGTCAGCGTGTCATTGTATAAAATCTCTATTTCCTTGGCCTTGAGGGGGGATGTCCTAAACCTAAACTGATATTTATCTATTTGGTTCTTTACCCTGGAACAGTTTTTCTCTAGATGTGGTCATAGAACCACCTGGAGAGAATCATGTATGGAAGTTGTTAGAAGTGCTCAGTCCAGCTATCACATTTGAAATGTACACATTTAATCCAGCAATTGCATTTCTAAATTTTTTCCTACACATGAACAAAGAAAAATGAACAAAGGTTTTTTTTGATTTGTTTGTTATATAAAAGACTGGAAACAATTTAAATGTCCATCAATGGGGAACTGTAAAATAAAGTATGGTATTTACGCAACTATTTCTTTAAAAAGACACATCTATAAAATTAGGAAACCTTGTCCAAAATATATTGCTAAAAGAAAAAGGCAAGATAAAATATATTTAATGTGCTTCCAATTATGTTTTTGTTAACTCCAAACAAAGGTTATTCATATGGCTTGTATATAGAGAGAGAACATTTCCGGAAAGAAATAGAAGAAAACATTAACAGTGGTCAGCTCCGAGGAGGGAGGTTTGGGAACTGGGGTGGCTCTGACTGTTTTTCCTCATGCACATAATGCTTTCTTAATTCAAAATGTATATACAAAATTATTTTAAATGCGGGTTCCTGGGGCCACTTAAAATCTAATGAATTGGAATCTTGTGGGATGAGGCCAATGAACCTGCCTGCTAGATCAGGTGATTCTTATGCACACTGAAGTTAGAGACCCACTCTCAACATATTTAAGATTAAAACATTCCAAACAGGGGTGCCTGGGTGGCTCAGTGGGTTGGGTATCTGCCTTTGGCTCAGGTCACGGTTTGGGAGTCCTGGGATCAAGCCCCACGTGGGGAGGGTTGGAGGAGTCCCAGCCCAGCAGGGAATCTGTCTTTCCCTCTTCCCACTGGTCTTTCTCTCTCAAATAAATAACTGATCTTTTTTTAAAAATCCAAATCAATTTCATATACTTGTCCTGACTCTCTCACATTATTTCCCTTTATACAACATTCTGGTCAATTACTATCTTTGGAGCACCCATAGTGTGTAATATTTTAATTTTATTAGGGTTTTCTGTTTCCATGGTCCTTTTCCAATCAACAAATGTAAACTGAGCTTCTATAAGAACAAAATAGGCAGAGGTAAGGCACCTGCCCTCAAGTAGCCTGCGTGCAGAGGTACTCTGCTATTGCAACGGACTGAACGTACCAGTGTCATCACAAAGCTGAGGGAAATTGGACTCATCATCTGTTTAAATGAAACTGTAACTGATAGTATAAGATGCATAGAGGGTTTTTTTTAATAAATTTATTTTTTATTGGTGTTCAATTTGCCAACATACAGAATAACACCCAGTGCTCATCCCGTCAAGTGCCCACCTCAGTGCCCGTCACCCAGTCACCCCCACCCCCCCGCCCACCTCCCCTTCTACCACCCTGCATAGAGGTTTAGTAGAAGACTGAAGAACTATCACTAGGTATAGCTACTTGTCAAGTGAAAGATACAGACTGCTATAAGGGCTGGATTTACACATCTCAAGCTCTTACAGTCTCAGGTCCCCTTGGCACTCTGAAAAACAATCAAGACAAAATTATTGTAAATGCGGATTCCTAGGGCCACTTAACAAAGATCCTTTAGGGAGTTTGTACCTCTTTCTGATCTTTACCATGTTCAAAATCAAAACTCAGACATTTAAAAAAAATATGCATGCATTACTTCATTTTAGAATAACAATAAGGAGCCTACTATTAATATAAATAGCATATTTTGTGAAAAGTAGCCAAATTTTCCCAAGTTTTTTTTTTAGTAAGAATAATGGTGTTGTTTTACATTTTTGTAAATTTCTTTAATATATGGCTTTATAGAAGACAGCTGGATTCTCATCTTTCTTTGCTTCTGTATTCAATCTGTTGTGATAGGTGGTTTTGATTGACATACATGAAGAAATGTGTATATATCAATATGTAGTTGGAAAGGGGAGGAATATTTTATTTTAGGGTCAAGGACTATTTTAAGTCTTTTCAGATAATTGTAGGGTTTTTTTAAAAGATTTTATTTATTTATTCATGAGCGATACACAGAGAGAAGCAGACACAGGCAGAGGGAGAAGCAGGCCCCCTGCAGGGAGCCTGATGCCTTAATCTATCCCAGGACCCCGGGATCATGACCTGAGCCAAAGGCAGACACTCAACCACTAAGCGACCCAGCTACCCTGTAGGGATTTTTTTGATACCATGCCAAAACTCAACACACTTGTATTTCTTACAGGTTAGTGGCAATGTGGAATCTGACACAGTATCAATGAACTTTTTGTACAATCTTCACATTAGAAGCCATTGATCTGTCTTGCACTTTGGTGAATCTTTTGCCCAGTTATGATTATGTAACATAAAGCTTTAGTCATTTGGAAAATACGGGTCCACTGAGTCTTATAGATCTTCCAGATGTTTTTATATTTTATACAGTGTGTTTAAAAATCACATGATCTTGTGTGGTTCCATTTAAATAAAAATATCCAGACTAGACCAATCCATAAGGACAGAAAAGCTTATTGGTGGTCGCCAGAGGCTGGGGGAGAAATGGGAATGGGGAGTGACTGCTAGTGGGCACTGCTAACAGGGTATCCTCCAGGCTGATGAAAATGTTCTGGAACTAGATACTTGTTGCATAATTTTGTGAATATATAAAAACCACCCAATTATATGCTTTCAAAGGGTGAATTTCATGGTATGTAAATTCTA